GTTTCTCTCGATGGCCGAGGAGCCCGATGGGAACTACGGGGATGTGTCACGATGGGATCTGTGCTTTTACCTGTACAGGAGGGTTTCGCCAGCATTGTGCTTTCCCCAGGGGAAGCAGCTCCATCCTGGGGGCTCTCGTGGCCGTGCATTGTCCCCCCCAGCCACCAAGGCCACTGTCCTGGCCACCAAGGCCACCCAGCTCTGCTCCCACCCCTGCCAGCGAGACCCGGGCTCAGGGAGGGATCGGGGACAGGAGGAGGCAGTGGGAGCTGCTCCTGGAGGTGCTGGGGGTCCATGTGGCCTGCCAGGGTCTGGGTGAGGGCTGGGAGGTGAGGCAGGGGCTGTTTTGGAGGGACTGAGGGGAAGGAGCCGTGGGACACTCGGGGGCCTGGCTCCAGCCATCCCCTCTGACTCGCTCCGGGATCGAGGTCCAGCCCCTGGAGCAGAGCCCGGTGCTGGGGGATGGAGCATCCCAACTCCAGCCCTACAGGCTGGACCAGTAGCACAAGGCGGGGCCCCCTCTGCAACCTCCTTTCTGCCTTCTCCAGACCCACTGAACCCCACCCCAGCTCTGCCCCCAGGGTTTGGACCCCTCCCAATGCCCCAGCACCTCCTTGTCCCCCAGCCAGGGACAGCACGCTGCTCCCGGCAGCAGGAGCTGGGCTGGGAACCGGGCAGGGGGCTGATGTGGGGGGACAGGGACATCGGCAGCGGCTCCCCCTCCTCGTCCCACTGCCTGAAGGAAAACTGAAAAGTGCCTGTGCTCACAACTAGCAGCTATTCCCTGTGCCTCTGTGCAGAGAGAGAGGGGAAAAACGGGATCTCTGGGGCTAAAAGCCACCGGGGGTCGGCCCCACCCACAGCCTGGGACCCCGAGGAGGAGTGTGGGGGGAGAACCTGCCCCGGCGAGCGGGAGAAACCCCCGAGGCGGGCTCGGAAAGTGAGAGAGAACAGCCAGAAGTGAATCCTAAACCCAGGCGCACCCACGGACACGCGCACACCCCCCGCACGGACACACGCGACAACACGGACCACTTAAAACGCACACACGCACACACACACTCCCCCCAACACCCCGTGTCTAACACCGAATGCCACGACAAAATACAGTATTTCCACAGATAAAAGTAAAGGCGTCGTCCCTCCTCCTCCTCCTCTTTCTCCTCCTCCTCCTGCTCTTCCTCTCTGCAGGATCCGCCCAGGGTCGTTGGAGCCTCCCTGGGCTGGGGGCGGGGGGAAAGGGACGCCCACCCACCACGGACAAGAAATAAAAAGGTAAAAATATGTCCCTCTCTAGAATGAGAATTGATCTGTACAGCACTGGGAATGAAAATAGGTCACGGGCCACTTTGGAATACAGTTTGTCATTTAACAGCATTTACAGTGACATTTACAGAATAAATATACAATAGAAATAGAGAATCTCTAGACTATTATCCCATCTCCTCTCTCTG